AGTGGTATTCTGCAACACCAGTAAAAAGGACTGTCTTGCAATTTGCTGCTTTCTGTGCCTAAAAACTCATTTGAGAAATCTGAGATGACTTTTAGCACAGCTCGCTGATAGTGTTAGATTGCCAATCATATGAGCTCAAAAGAACTTTTTTAATCTAACTTTAGCTTTCTGGCTTTTTGAAGAGATACCGTGTGAGGGGGCAGCTACCACTTCTGAAAAAGAGCAGATGCACCCCATGATTTGAGAAGCTGGGGCTTGGATTTGGCTGAGGGGAATAGGCATTGCTGTGCAAACAGGTGCTATCAAGGAGAACACTTTTCCAGACTTGTAGTGTAGACTGCTGTGGAAGTTGAGGGTAAAATCAGTGTTTTCCAGAAAACTGCTTTGAGTGTTAACATAGCATATGTGGTCCTTCAGAATAAAGCCGTCAATTTTTGCAGAGAGTTGGCAAAGGTCAGTAACTTTTGACAAGCTTTGATCTTAGCTTTCCTGAACTTGCCCTTCTAATCTTGCTATATGGATATGTAGCTTATCTCATCCATGTAAGTCACTAAAATATGTATCTGCCTAAACAAAAAAAAAAAGCGTAGCATGCATATGCCCAGAACTATGCAACATCTGGGTAATGCCAAAAGGAAAAATGCTCAATCTTCCCCAAAAACCTTCTCCTTAGATGTCTTGTCTTGCTGTGCTAAACTGAGTCTGCAGCAAAGTGTGGTTATAGATGCATTTGTACTCCTAACCTCCTGGTTAGTGTGCATGCTTACAGATGCAGATGTTGATTAAAATAACGTGGTTGGCTTTGTCGCCTCTGAGACACACTGAGAGGTTATGCTGGGGCTGCGTCTGGCAGAAGTCTCATAACCTGGGATGTGAGATGATGTTCTTAGTAACATAGCTGCTTTTCTCCCAGGAAATTGAGTTTAATGATTAAGAGTTTGGCTTTCTTGGAGAAGTCTATAGCCCCTGGGCTGTGAGTGCTGCTCCCATGGAGCAATTAAGCTTTTCTAGGGAACATACATGGTGTGGCTGAAGTTGTGCTTCCTGCTAAGTACTACTCTGCTGATTTTATTACCCCTGCAGCTGCCAGGTGCCACTAAGGCAGCAGAGGGAGAGGTAATGCCACCTCTGGTTGCTGCAGCTCAGCTCAATTCACTGCTCTTCTTGACAGAGCCCTGGGCTCTTAAAACTCAGCTCAAAAGCAAAATAGCTGCAGGGTAAGCACCTTGTCAGGGTTGTGAGAGGGTTGATAGCAGCAGGACTGGGGAGATGAAGTGGATCTGAGAAGGTGATGAGAGTTACAGAGAGAAGGATGGAGATCAATATTGAGATATTAGAGCAAGGCAGGCCTGGGCCAGGCATTAATTACACAGGAAAGGGTGATGATTTAGGGGGGAGTGGATAGAGAAATTGAGTATTTTTTTTTTTTTGGTCTTACCATAACCTGCATAAAATGGGGGGGATGGCTTATTTTCATGTTGCATAGGATGGGCTGAGGTACAAGATGACTTAAGGTCAAGGCATCTGCTACGTATGGTTCCGCAAGGTGAGGAGTTGATTTTTGTTCCTGTAGCACTGAAGGATGGTGCCTGCTGTCCTTGGCCACATGCACTTTTCATGCTTTTCCACTTTTTTTGCTATGAGATTGAGCCCTACAGGGTGGACTCATCCTGACCACAAGCTTCAAGGTGCAGGGGGACTGCTCTGATTTTTCTCAGCCAACCTTAACTCAGTTCCTCACTCTGGCCGCCTACTCAGCAAAATCTTTCTTTTGTGCTTTTAGACCATATTTCAGGCTGAAGTGGTACTTCCTGTGCTCAGAGGTCTGACTCACCCTGTCATGTAGCTCATGGCACTTAAGCAAACGCTGCCTTCATATCAAGTGATAGAGATGGGGGAGGCACCATTTTGGAGATCTTATGCTCTTCCCCAGCCAATTTGAGGCAGTATGCAAAGGTGTCTAACCTCCTCCCACCCCACACACTTCCCTGAAGCAACTGCTTGTAGCACAGGCTGTAAAGCGTTACTGAGACTCTGCTTCCATACGGAAACCTGTTTGATATTTACACAAGTTGTGCAATGGCCACATCACATCCTACTCTGAACTTCTGCAGAACACCAATCAAACTTTCAGAGGAGCTGAACAGCTTCTGCTGTTGCTTCTGGCATCTGCTGCCCTTCAAGCAGCAGGGGTGGCACTCGGTGATCATCAGGCGATGGGGTGGAAAACAGCTGCCAGGGCTGGAGGCAGCTACTGAGCCGTGCTCAGAGGGATGGGAAGGTGCATCTGCCACGCACACAGCTCATCTTCTTACCTCGAGGTGACCCTGTATTTGACAGGCAGAAGTTGCTTGCCTGGCAGACTAATAGGCTGAAGGATTCAAAACAGGAGTGGTTTGAAGCCTTGGGGTGGTTTAGTGACAAAGCAGACACCTGCCCGGGAGTGCAGTTCCTGTTATAGCCCAGGTTTGGGATTATTTGCAAGCTGAGTGTTTTGTCCGTCCCTTGCCCAAGGGACACAAGGCTCGGCTGCCTTTTGTTCTGCTCTTTCCTCCCCTAAAGAGGGAGGAACAGAGGATGCTTCCCTTGCCAGAGTCCTCGCTGACCTCTGCCCAACCCTCTGATCTTACTCCACCCTTGCCCTTCTTCCAGCTCCTGTGCTGCTCCTGTCCCGTCTCCAGCCCTCTCTCTTTAAATGGCTCACCACTACTGTGCTCATATCAAGCCAGTTTGAGTAGGGTTGGGAAGTGAACAAGTAAAACTACTTTTACTACAAGTAAAACTACCCTGCTTGGCTTTTATCCATCTGCATCTTAATTGCATTAGGACAGTGGGGAGAACCTCAACTATGTTCTCTGAGCTGTGTGCTCAAACCATTTGTCCCCATGCGCCTCCCATCTGACCCACCAGGTGGGAAGGATCTGGGCATGTGGTGAGAGTAAGGAGAGGATGATGGGGATGGATATTGAGATATTAAACCAAGAAAGACCTGTTGTGACAACTTCCCTGGGGCTGCAATCCTGGATATGGCTGAGATGAAAAAGCCATGATCATGGATTTTAGCCAATCTCAGGCTGATACTGCTTTGCAGGGTGGCCCAAGGTGGCATCAGGGGGGCTGTCAGCACTGGTGAGTGCTCTGCTTTGAGGAGAGGTTATGGTGTCCATCATGCATTTCAGAGGAACCAAACCCCAGGTTTTATACTTTGCTTGTGATTGAGATGCTTATATGAGGGAGGCTTTGTAGAACTAGCTAACACTAGATTTGTAGTGTACTTCTGAAGCCAGCAGGCACCCTGTCTGGTTCTCGTCCATCCCTCCAGGGCACAGGCTGCCCCTCAGTCTCATCACATCTGCCAGCCCTTGTGCAGATGTTTCATGCCTGGTGGTGCCCATAGTGCTGTGATAGTCTGGGTATTGTGTTTTTGTGTTCTCTTTACCTCATTTTCTGCCCATTTTGGACGAACTTCCATCATGCAAGATGGAGACAGCTGCCCAAAGCTCCACCAGCAGCAGATGACAGTATCCTTGATGCATTTTGATGGCTGTCTGGCAGGCTGGTTGGGGACAGCAGCAACTTGAATGATTTTTGAAGCCTTCAGAACAGTTCTGATAGGACCGATTCATGTTTATTCCTGTCAAGCAGGTAGATGGAGGCAGCAGAGATCACGAGAGGGGGATTAATCTGTTTTGTTTTGGTTTTTTTTGTTGGGTTTCCCATGTCTCAGACAAGCAATTTGGAAGTTACCTGAAGGGTTGAACCCCTGGCACCCTCTGAGCACTCCTGGGGAGATGCCGAGCGCTTGTCGGCATGTTGCCCGCAGCAGGAAGCACTGCAGCCCCTGTCCTGTGTCGTCGAGTTCCTGTTTGTGGCCTCCCTGCTTGTGGCTTGTTTTCTGCAGTGGCAAGCTGTTGGCTCAAGATGCCTCTGAGACTGCTTGTGCTGCTTTCAGCTCCTGCTTCCTCTACGTTTGCTTATACGAGGGTGTAAAAAAAGCCCATCAATATTTTAGTTTCCATTCAAACCTCCGCCTTGAAGCTCACCCTTTTCATTTTGCTGTAGTGCCTAAAGCAAGCTAATGAAATATATCCCTCCTGCTTCAAATTAAGGCGTAAAAGACTTGTCAGAAGATGGGTAGAAGCTGCTGAATAATCCTGGTAATGTAAAAATTGACATTCTATAATGTCCCTAATTCTCCTAATTAAACATGATACACGAGCATGCCATAAGAGTCCTCCAGCTGCTTCATAATAAAATGTTGCAGTGAACCAGCTTGCTGTAGAATGAGGCTAGGTTAAACTCTAATTAGAAGCGTTGTGAAAGGCTAAGGAGTTGTCTGCTGTAATTAAGAAACTTGTCTCGCTTTCTCAGTGCTGCTGCCTCCTGTGACCTGCTCCTCTGCCCCTTGGGAAGCTGTGGGTCTGTCCGTCCGTATCAGGTGTCTCCTTGGAAACATCTTTTTTTTTTTTCCTATTCCCCCCTTAAGTTTCAAATTGCTGAACCACAAGTGAAATAGCTGAGCCGCTGCATTGAGCTGATGAACACACGTTGTGTTTGGGGTGGGCTTGGGCTGTGGTGTGGCTCTCACTTCTGGGTTGCTGCTTGGTGTTTTTATGGTTTCCAGTCTGAGTTTTCATCCTGGCTTGCTTTTTTTTTTTTTTCTGATCTGAGAGAAGTGAGGTGTTGCCTCCCTTGGATTTACCTCTTGTGCCATTGACTTGGTGAGCAGGCTGGTGGGCGAAGCCTGTGCTGTTGCCTGGCCAGGCTGTGGAGCGGCCCATCGAGGACACGCCTGAGGCCAGCCCAAAACGTGCCAGAGCCCTTTGCTTTATAACTTTCAGCCCTACCACCAGGCGAGGGGATAAGAGAAGCCCCTTACAAAGGCCCCTGGTGCTGCCGAGGCCTTGCTGCAGCCATGAAGGGTGGGTATGCCCGCAGCCCGGTGGCTCCGGGCCCAGGCCCCGCGGCCCTGCTAACCGCCCTCCGCATGTCGTTGGCAGGGTACCTCAAGTGCGACACGGATGATGGCTGCGAGGCCAAGGAGGAGACGGGGGGTGAGGAGCTCTTCGATGCGGTGAACTCCTCCATCGTCTCGGGGGACAGCATCCGCTTCTTCGTCAACGTCAACCTGGAGGTGCCGCCAAATGCCACCGGTGAGTGCTGCCCCCCAAAACGGGGCTGCAAGATGCAGTTGTTTCTTGCTGCAAAATTTCAGAGCTATTTCTTTCTTTCAGCAAAACCTAAAACAGTCTGGCTGCTGAGTGGTTCCTCAGCCATCCGTATGAAGCATTCTGACTCCTTTTTCCTTCTACTTTTTAAAGTGAGGTCTGGAGTTTGGGGCATGGGACCTTGCTGTCCCTCTCACTGCTGTGGCCCCGTCACTGGATAAGGGCAGTTTCTAGGGAGAAATTGGGATTCTTGGTGCATGTTAGTCCCTGTAGATAACTGGAACGTGGCTCTGGGGCTTACCAAGGTTTTTGGAATATTTTTTTGATCACTGTTTAATTGAAATGCTGGAAGTGAATCAGAGCTGTGGATTGCCCTGGTCAGTTACTGCTCTCCACAGCAGCTGGCAAGCAAAGAGTGTAGAGGTATTTTGGGGGTTGGAAATGTTGCCTTTTGGGTTTAATCATCCTGCTAGAAGCAAGGAATCCCTACACCAGCTGTGTTGAAGTGGATAGCTAAAACGAGGAGAAAAACAGCCTATTAAACACAGAGGTAAGGCCCCTCTATAGATGCAGCTATGTCTATAGTACAGGAAGTGCTGTTGTGTGTCATGCTCTGCTTATGAATACAAACTACCTCCTGCAGGTGAGGGCCCAAGTGCCAAGCTCCCCCAAATATGCTTTAGTGGGATCTGTGCTTGCTACAAGGCAGCTTCCTGCAGGGGAGGAAGATAGGGTTTGCTGGTGGTGGTGCCTCCGGTGCTGTGTGGCACTGGGGATGAGCACACCAGTGAAATGCATCCCTGCGGCTCCCACCCTGGGGAAGTTGTCAGTTTTGAGTGGTGGCTTGGCTCATAGAGGCCAAATAGTCACAAAGGAGGTGGTTGTGCAGTCATGTTGCAAATAGATATGTCTGCCCAAAACTGTGCTCTCTGTGTACTCCTTGCCAAGCCAGCATCCTTTAGAAACTTTGCCCAACACGGAGAGTGAGATGGAGGGAACTTCTGAACAGCCTAATTAACACAAATTGTGAAGATATACGTCTAAAATAGTTGCTATTGAGGAATAAAATCCCTAGATTGCTCTAAAAGTTGCTTTTGCCTCTAGCACATCATTTTAACATCCTCTGTAAGGCATGTGTTAAATGGTGAATGAAGAGGACTAGCAAAACCTGGCTTTACTGGTATGTGCCTAGGAAATGCAGCCTCTGGGACGCAGCAGCAGCCTGGGTTTCATCTTGGCAGCTGGAGGCAAACTGGAGCCTGCCTGTGTGGGCACTGAATATTTTGGAGATTAAATGCAAGAGCTCTGGATTATATTTGGTGTCACAGTATCAGAGAGTCCTTTAAATTTGTTCAAAGTTATTTTTAGATTACAAGCAAATCCCAATTGATCTATTGCGAGCAATTATTTGAAACAGCAATGCAGAATAGGCATGACACATACCTCTGCTTGACTACCTTGAAGGCTACTTTGAGTGGTGACTTCAACTTAAGAAAAATATCTAGCAATTTTCAAGCCTGCATTTTTACAAATGCCATCTTAATTGAAAGATTTAAGGGGAACTGTACTCTGCTATGACAAGTCTGGGTTTAATGCCGTGGGGTGCATTGTTTGGGGATGAGGAATGCAAGTGCTGTGGATTCTTCTGTGTCTAAAGAAGCTAACTTCCCTTGTGCGTCCTCCTGGGCTTTTTATATAAGTGTTTTCCCTTCCACTCAAAACAGGACAAAAAAGGCTTTCTTGTTTCCCTCAAGCACTGATGTTTGGTGGTGGTATTAGTTGTATCCTTTTTCTTCAGCTGAGATACCTAGGATTTTTAAGGTAAAATGAGCTTCTGATGTACCAGAGTCCTCTTTTAAATGTAAGGATAGAGGTTTTAAAAATGGTCTTCAGGCAGAACTAAAGTCTGGACTTTCAATAAGGGCAGGTGTGAAGTCAGATTTATTTTTTTTTTTCCCATGACAGCATTAAAGCTGTCCAGGTAGCCAAAATCCAGGTGGTTGTCTGTGAGTATCAAGTATAGGATTCTTCAGAGTCCAGGTTTGTGTCACCTGGGCTGTTTGCTGTCTCAGAGGTGGTGTTGTTGAAGCATCTTCCAGAGCTGATTTTTTACATACTGAATCAGTCTCTGGCTACAGTAGGCATAGCTGATCCTCCCAGACAGCTGACTTCTCAGGTGGTTGAAAGTGGTTGAGATGAGCCCCTTAAGCTCTTCTAACAAAAGTAGCCTGAACCTCTGAAAAAAAATAATGTGAAAATATCCTCTTTACAAGTTTTCTAAGCTCTTTCTAGAAATGAGGTTTAACTATGCTATGTCAGAGGTATGTCTGGGAATACACTGTTTCTTGTTCGACTCTGCAAGGGGACACTTTTCAGAAATGCCATTGCTGCTGCTTTCTGGATGCTTTAGTTTATATTCAGGCTTTGCATTCCTGGAGCAGAACTGCAGAACTGAGCACTTGCAGTGCTTGTCTCCAGCAAGACAAGCTGAAAAGAAAGCAGAGGTGGGGGAAGCAGGTATTCTCCAGGCAATGCAAGACATTCCCCCAAACACCTCATCTCCAACCCCCAAAGGAGCTAGTGCTCCAGGATCCTATAAGATCCTTTGCTGCTTTAACCACAGTGGAAAAGCAAGTGTGGGAATGTCATCTTTCTGTCCCCATCCTTTTCTCTTGCCTTCTCCAGTCTGGGTGAAACCTAAGAGCTGAAAGGCCATCTTGTGCCAGAGGGCTCGATATTGCCCTCTTGTGTCATGGAACCCATTGTAATACTTGCAGGGGCTTGGACAGTTGCTGCCTGGCCAGAGAACCACTGACCATGGGCCATCTTCTGCAAAGAGGGCTCTCCAGTGGTGCCTGTTTTGATTTGTTCCTTAGTGTCAGATGCACTCACTGCATAAAATGTATTTGCACAATCTCCAGCAGGAAAATCCTCTAAGGTGACTTGAAACAAGATAAATAGCTGCTCTGTGATATTTGTGAGCCTCTGCATGCCTGTTCTGGTTGTCATAGTTTGGTCTCCTGGCTGAACGTGGTATCCAAATTCTCTCCTGCTGGAGACCTTTTCTGGCAAGCTGCTGGGAAGTTGCTGGTCACCTAAAAGATCCAAAATTCCCATCTGGGAAGGGGATGACCTGGTACCCCAGGGTCTGGGTGCTGGCAGGCAATGTAAGTGGAATTGCAGACGCAGTGACAGCTCTGCCATCATCCTGTCAAGCTGTTAATCTCCATATGATGGATGTACAACTCACTATGAACATAATTGGATGCGCTTTACTGTAATTCTGTTTTAAAAAGATCGCTGTGTGGGATTAAACGTTGAGCCAACAAAACATAGCACAGCCCATAAAACTCCAACAATTAACCATTGTCATAAAATGCTGGGCTGTGTATGCACAGATGTGTATAAAACATGATAGCTTGAAGAAATCTAGGGTTTAAGGTATGGCCTGTCTCAATTTTAATACTGGCTGCTGTTGCGTGGAATATTGAGTAAAAATCAGTGCAGATGCCCAGACACTAAAGTACTTCTCAGTCTTGACACTTGGGTCCTTTCTGCTGGGTGTTTGATTGCTTCTTTGTGCTAGCTGATGAAAAGCTTTTTTTTCTTCTTCTTCTATTCTCTTCTGCTTCTCATCCTTCCAGCTTAGGTTTTGGTCGCAAGACTTCTGTTTGCAGCAAATGTTTGTAGCTCCAACATGATGGTGGGTCTTTATCTGAAGCTGCATGCTTTTGGACCTGGGATATGCCTTTTGGGGGGAAAATCAGGATGTTTTTCAGAGAGGCTGAGACTTGTACTTATATATACATTTATTGTGATTTAAGTAAAATGTTAGGTCTGTGCCCTGCTGCATGTATTTTTGCAGGAGTCAGTACTGCATTCCTGCCCCAAATGAGATCCCTTTTCCCTGACACCCTTGCCTCCATCACAGAAGCAGGAATGTTACCTTTCCTGTGCTGCAGGTAGAAAATCTGGCTTGATGCTCTGGTCCCTGGGAATTTATACCAGAGAGGATAAGAAGCATCAGTGGGTTTGGTGTGCAGTATGAGGGCAGTCTCTTTCCTCTCCGGGCTAGTGTGCTACAAGCCCTGCTTGCTTCATAGCTGCCAGGTTAGCTACATAGCAGCTTGCAGTCTCATACATGGTTTCACAACTGCTTTCCTGTTCTCTCACCTGGCTACAAGTGTATTAATCCTTCTGTCTTGGCTTAAACCTTCTATCTGGCTGTGAAATTGACTGTCTCTTCGTATTTAATATATGGGCTTTTACCATAAATCCATCTGGAGCCTGGGCTGCAGGTGTACATACCTGCATCCCTTCAGCCTGTCACAGAACTGCAGGGGCCACAGCCTTGCCATCAGTCACAGTGCTCTTATCTTCTTGGCAGCTCCCTTAAGTCAGCCAGGCAAATATTTTCATTGTTTGGACCTTATTCTTGCAGCTTGGGGTTTTAAAACAAATCACCTTCTCCTTTCCCCAGATTGCAGTAGAGGGGTTTACACAGGATTTTTTCCTAAACTTGGGCACAATTTATCAGGAGCTTGGGGAGCCATAGCAGCTCAACTTTTGCAGTATGCTTTGCCACTTAGAGCTGATGCTCATACTGGTGGTTTTAGCTGCAGAGAGGTGCCCGATCCAGCTTTTGGGGATAAGAAGGCAAAATCCTGATGGCAGCAAAAAGCCAATCGGAAAGCAGGATGTGGCTTTGTCGGGGTGTGGGGGGGAAATAACAGAACACGATTTACGCTTCATGAGAAATTAAAGGCTGTTCCACCCTCTGGACAACTGATCATTCTTAGATACGGAGAATCAACAGTTTCCTGTAATCCGCTCCAGAGGCACACACGTGCACGCCCGCCACCGCTGCTCCCAGCAAAACACCGTGCTCTAACTCATGGCCCAGCCCCTGCCGAGATGACTTTTTTTCTTTAAGGGGACGAGGAGAAATGCTAGATGCTGGCGCCAAGGATATTCCAGAGAGAGTA